CCTAAGTCCTAAACCCTGAACCCCTAAACCCTAAGTCCATGACTCGTCGAATTGAGGCCGTGGCTCTCGGGGAAAGCTCCCTGGTCACAGCCTGAGATGCTCCAGAGACCTGCTCTTTTCTAAGGGGTGGAGGGTTTAGGGTTTAGGGTTTAGGGTTTAAGGTTCAGGGTTTAGGATTTAGGGTTTAGGGTTTAGGGTTTAGGATTCAGGGTTTAGGGTTTAGGGTCCAGAGAAGTGCTCGTTGTTTGGGTGTATAGGGCTTTGGGTTTTGGGGCTTTGGGGTTTCGGGCTGCAGGTCTTGTTTGGGTGTATAGGGCTTTGGGTTTTGGGGCTTTGGGGTTTCGGGTTTTGGGGTTTAGGGGTTAAGGGGGTTTGGGGGTTTTGGGGGTTTGGGGTTTAGGGTTGGGATTTCGGGCCTGCATGATGCTTCAAGCAGGAGTTCAGTGTTCAGGGCTCTGTAGCGCTTCAGGATTTAGCGCGTTAGATGTTGGAGCTTTGGGGCTTTCTGGGTCGAGGATTCCAGGACTAAGGAGGAAGGGCTTCGGCTGAAAAGAAAAGAGGAGCCCCGTTAAGGGAAGGCGCTCAGACTTGGAGGATCATGGGACTTAGTAGGTAAGGTTATAAGTTATAAGTACCTTAAGTGGGGGGGTGTACGTAATTTTAAGCATGGTCACATACGAATTGTAAGCCCCGTTACTAAGTCCCATGGTCCTTTAAGTAGTTACGAAGTCCCGAGATCCTTTAAATTGTTACTAAGTCCGATGATCCTTTAAGTATGCTCCCCTGGCTCCCTAAACCCTAAGCCTTAAACCCTAAACCCTAGAACTTCCCTTGCAGAGTTGAGGGTCGGCTTTGCGATCGCTACCTTGGTTTGGGCGGTTCAGGGTTTAGGGTTTAGGGTTTCTCCGAATTTACTATAGAGGCCTTAATAACCAGAGTGGGGATTTGGGGACATAATTCTATATTATAACGAACCCCAAGCAGAATAGGGTTTTGGGGGCCATATTAGATCATATATGGAGCCCAGACTAGAAGGGTTTTGGGGGCAATAGTAAACACAAAAAAAACTGGAATAATGCTTCGGGGTAATCATTTCAGGCCCCTACAAACTGGAATAATGCTTTGGGGTAATCATTTTTCAGGCCCCTACAGTAGGGAGAGGGTTTAGGGTTTAGGGTACTAAACCCTAAAGCCTATAGTAAGGAGAGCTATAGGAAGGAGAGGGAGACGAGTGGGCTGGTCCGGGATGTGTGGAAGGGTTGCCGGATTCTAGGGAGACATTCCCGAAGCCCGGAATAGCCCAAAACCTCCTAGAAAAAGGGGTTTAGGGTTTAGGGTTTAGGGCCTTAAACAAAAAACACTGAACCTTATATGGATTTCAAGTGTTGTTGTACATGGTGCTCCCGACGTGGCTTTCTGTGTAATCGCACTTCAGCTTCTTGGGATTAGGGCTCAGTCTTTCAGACATGCCAGTCTTTGGAGGAGCTCACAGGTGTGCAGGTCTTTAAGATATGCGATGCTAGGCTTTGGAGGAGCTCCTGTTTGTGCAGTCATATGTGCCTCCCTACGGAAATGCAGATTGTGCCCGCCGGCAGACTCTGTTCGAAAGTTGTTGGCATGGCCGCAGATGCAACAGCGTCCAGAGTCGTTTGCTCTCAAGACAATTCAGAAGGGACGATCTCAGAGCTTTGTCATGTATGAGTTGTTGACAAAGTTGAGAGGGTCAGAAGCGATTTCTCCTAAAGCCGGACGGCTAAACCCTAATCGAGCTTCGAGTCAGAGACATACTGCACACCGGGCTAGCTTTCAACATATCCCAAACCTGATCCTCAATGCCGAAAGGTCAAGAAACGAACTCACTTAAGACTTGTGTAACCCGAAAATCAAAACCCCAACCCGAAACCCGAGACCCCAAACCCTAGACCCATAAAATGCCCTAAACCCTAAACCCCTAAACCCTAAACCCCTGAACCCCTAAACCCCTAAACCCTAAACCCTAAAACCCTAAACCCTAAAACCCTAAGAGTTCGGCGCATCCCTCGGGCCTCAAGATGTCCGACGTAGCGAGTGAGTCGAAGATCGCAGCAGGCGGAGCGCAGGCCGACTTTTACTTTGACGGGGGCCGTAGTATCGGGGCCTTCATAATTAGAATAGGGTTCCTTTAAAGGAATCTATAAGGGCTACTATAAGGGTTTAGGATTTAGGGGCCTTAATAGTTATAGAATAGGGTTTTGGGTAGTTTATACTACAATTAGAATAAGGAACCCCCAGAACCCTATTCAAATTATTAAGGCCCCTACATTACTTGGATGACAATTGCGTTTTCTGGTATATGATTGCAAGTATGCAAGTAAGCTGGTAATTGCAAAAACAAGTGGTGGCCTACGGTATAATTTATTATAGTTTTTAAGTAACTAAGAAATGTGAAAGAAAGAACGAAAGAACAAACTAAAGAATCACTAGAATAATTTATGTATGCATGTGTTTCTGTATGTATGTGCGTATACACATAAATAGTTAGGCATGTGTCGAAGAACATATACAGATGCATATGCACACACGAACACATCGGGGTCGATGGGTATGCGAACATCTGCCAGGGCTGCCATCTGACTTCTCGGCGCGGAGCCTTTCTTGGAGCTTTGGGAGTACTGTGCCTCCTCTCCTGGCAGCTGGCCCCTGGGCTTTTCTTTCGGCAAAAGCCTGTGGCAGCCTGAATAACTACTGATACAGAGCTCCTGGGTTCCCGATTGTAATTACGGTGTAGTCCCTATGTACTTGTAGTATACCCCAAAACTCTATTCTCTATCCTGCTGCGCCTACATTCTCAGAGAGAATCTTCCTGCTTCCCGTTGAGCTCAAGCCATATGGTCCAAGTACCCACATGGTTTGGGGCGTCTAGAGCCCTACGATTTGGGTACTTGGACCCTTTGGGTAGCAGAGTATAGGGGTTGGAATAAACATCAATCATTAGAATGAATAGGGTTTGGAGTGTATTCTACTACGATATAGTTGTAGTGTACACTCTTCGAATGATCCTTTCTGTAACCAAGAGGATCCATACACACTACCATATTGGAATTAGGCTCCCCAAAACAACATGATTAGAATGGTCTTCAGGGGCCTAATTCCATAATGGCATGTTCTTTAAAACCTCTGGGTAAGGCCCCTATAGTTCACCTTTGAGCTCGAAGGTGTCGCTGCATTCACCGGAGGACCAGCAGCGGCTAGAGAAGCGCCTCAGCGACAGGATCCAAGATGTGGAAAGCCGCTTTTCTGGCTCTGGAAGGTTTAGGGTTTAGGGTTCAGGGTGGCTTTAGATTATGGGGCTAAGCAATCCAAGCCCTACTTGGTAATAAAGGGGCCTAGCTAATTACTTATACTCTTTTGGGGGCTGCTTACTATATTTATAGTGTAATATACCCCAAAACCCTATTCTAATGATTAAGGCCCCTACAGTACATGCCAACTCCTAAACCCTAAGCTCTAAACCCATAAACCGTAAACCCTGAACCCTAAAGCCTGAACCTTGAACCCTAAACCCTGAACCGTATATAAGCCCATAAACCCTGAACCCTAAACTCGAAGCTTTGAACCCTGAACCCTAAACCCTGAACTCTGGATCCAACGCTCAGAGCCCAAGGCAAAACGCAGGTGCTGGCTGAGCAACTGGAGCAGATTTCAGCACAGCTGCAGCTGGGACAGAGCTCTCCGTCGGGGCAGGAGGGTTCAAGGTTCCGAGTTTACGGGTTTAGGAGGTTTAGGGTCTCAAGGTTTGGGATTCAGGGTTCCGGGTTTGGGGGTTAAGAGTTTAGGGGTCAGGGTTCCGAGTTTAGGGGTTTAGGGATTTAGAACTTAGGGTTCAGGGGAGGAGGAGGATGGTAGACACAAGCAACTGCGCGCAAGTTTAAGACTTTAGGGTTTGGGTTTTACATAAGACTGCTTTGGAGTCCATATGCACGCAAGACACAAAGCTTGAAGAGCTGATTCGCAATACATAGTAGACCCTGTAGACCCTAAACCCTAAACCCTAAACCCATAATAAACCCTGTAGACCCTAAAACCCCAAACCCTAAGAGGAGGACGAAGTATTTCTACCGGAGACTGCGGTGGCCAACACGGCTGTCGCTTCCACTCCGGATCTGCCTGGCGCACAGAGCCACTTGCATTCACTGGTTCTGCAAAAGGAAGCGAAGATAAATGCTGCGTTCAAGAACGGCGTCGCAGAGGAGCATGTGTTAGGGGGGAGTCTTATCATTCATTAACCCTAAACCTTAGGATTTTCGGGGGCTTTTGGGGTTTGGGTTTAGGGCTTCAGAGCTTTAGGGTATTAGGGTTTTGGGGCTTAGGGAGATGTTCAAGACCTCAAGGTCCTTTGCTGCTTCCAGTAGTACATATTATTGCCTTCATCACTATTGTTATTTTCATGATTGTTATTCGTATTCCTATTGATCTTATTTCTTGTGCTATTATTATTATTATATTATTATTATTATTATTATCACTACTA